ATTCTCCCTGGACTAAGGCTGAACTGTGAGCCATCAAGAGTTTCCTAAAATGACTGAGGATCCCATAAGTTTGCCGAGGAATTTAACACAGGTATTCCAACTTACCAACCTTGTTTCTCAGATTTGTATCAATTAACCCACATGCTTATTGCTGACAGCCAAGCCAAGCATTGGATGAAACTGGTTCAATGGGAACATCCAGAAAGAGATTTGGAGAAACAGACTAAATTTTGGCAAAATGCAGAACACTGGCTGGAAGCCTCCACCAAGCAATCACAGTAGCTTTGTCTAAGCCTGTTGATTTGGAACAAGATTCAGGCCAGCACACAAAGCCTGAGGGACCTTGTTCATGACTATTACAAGTGACCTTGGATTGTTTTTGGAGAAAATTCTGTTCTTCTTTTCGATGCTGAATCTCCTGTAGCATTTCACTCTGATTCTATTAACAGGCTAAAGTGGGATCTTTCCTCTATTTAGTTAAAAGGATAGGATGGGAGACTATGTCCACCCCAGATTTAGTTAATTTGGCAAACCAGCTTGTGTGCACCCTAGATGAGAAAGACAGCTAAAGTTCTTCACTTTCAACTCTGGCAAATGGAAGACCTTAAGTCAAAAAACCTTCTAGCTTTAGCTGTTATTGCAAAGAGCCCAGACGTTGGATAAAAAACAACAAACTGTTTCAAGTTTAAGCTCCTCAGGTGCCCTCAGCCCTCTTGCCAGCCCTTGCAGTGCCCCCCTAACTCCCAGTGGTGGGCTCTGAGGAACTACGGGAGCTCTTCTCAATCTTCCCTCTTAACCAGCTCAGAGAAACCTCTCTCCAGACTGGGGATGAATCTTTGTCCTTATTGAAAATGGGGCTACTTTTTGCTTGTTCAACCCCACTGCTATACAGTAGACCCAGCCCCAGAATACTAAAAAATAGTGGGGGTCTGAAATAAACCTCAACAGGTTTCTGTCGCTGAACCTACTCCTGTTTTCTTAGGCCCTTTGAGAGATACATACCCTTTTCTCCTTAGTTCCTTTGCCCTATTCATTTATTGGGCCAAGATTTATTTATAAAATATATGTGTTTATCAAGGCAGAATATCTTTCTCCCAAAAGGGGGAAATAAATCTAGAATTTGACAGTAATCAAAATACCACCCAGGGCCTTGAACTTTGGATGTCTTATCTGCTGTCTCTGATGACACTACAGCTGAGTCTGTGGTACTGATCATTCATTCCTGTTGGATCAGCTAACGTCCTCCTTACAGGCACAATCTTCAGCTGACATTGGCAGAACCCACAGGGCACCTCCCATGAATATCAGATCCTTCAAAACCTATCCCCAGAGTTAATCAATACCTGATAAAGAAAGAAGCTCTTCAAGGCATTAAACCCATAATAGAAGACTACAGGCTCCAGGCCTCACTACCTGTGCTGGTCCCTATAGTGCCCGTTATGCCTGTGAGAACCAATGTCTGAGGACAGAGGTTTGTCCAGGGCCTCTGAGCAATACATACATTACCCCCCAGCACCTGCTGTCCCTAACTCCGTACCCCGCTGACCACGGAAAGCAGACTTCTTGCTGTTAGCTGATCTGTGCAGTGTCCTGCTAGCACTCCAGTCATAGGCTAGTCAGTATCTTTTTGCTTTAATTTGGAAGCATGGAAATACAGCTGGACAGTAATGCCCAGGATTTCAGTTTTTACTTTCACACACCTTAAGCTGATTTAGATGACGTAACTTTTTCTGCAAGATCGACTTGTTAAGATAGCTAGGTGACCTGCTTCTGTGCTCCCTTCCCAAACCTCTTCCCAGGAAGGTAGCATCCACCTGTTAAACCTTTTGATCTTAGAGGAACATAAGTCTCCAAAGAAGAAACTGCAGTTGCTCAGACTCAGGCTTGATACTTAGGGCATCTGATCCTGGAGCGGAACCATGTTTGGCTCCAGGTGAAATCCCTCATGGCAGCTGAATGCTGGCAGGTCTCCCTGTAATTGACAGGAAACTCCTCTAACCAGTGCAGATTTTTCATGGTTTACTGTTGATTCTTATCTGAAGGATGAAAATGGTAAATGGTTAGCTGGGCATGCTGAGACTCCCTTTGAAGTCATGAGGCTGCACCCCTACCTCTGGCCACGTTTCCCAGCAGACTGTGCTGCACACCCTTACTCGAGGTACCCGTAGCCAAGGGTCAAACCGCAGGCTGTGGTTCTGGTGGTTGTTGGTGTGCTTCTGGGTGGCTCATGACTTTGCAATGCTGTGGAAACAAGGAGGTTCCCTATCCTTCAATAGGGATAAAACTGAAAAGTCCCCTGAGTCTAACAGTGACGCTATACGTTTGCTCTGGCTATGGTTCCCGGCATTCTAGCCGCAACTCCCTGGAGGCCAAGGGAAGCCACCTTACTGGTATTTCCACCAAAAGCACTAAACCCCCATCATGTTCCACAGGAATGTTATCCCACATGAGAATCTGGAAAAGCTGACTAGAGATGCCCACTTGGTCCCAGAAAAGGAAAAACAGTATTGGAAATCTAATTGTAGGTTGGATAAAGGGAGAACTCTGGTTTGGACCAAATTAACAAACTGGTCCTACCAGAAATTCTAAAATTCCAACTAGTTACCACTGTATGTGCATTAAACTGGTGGTCTACTGACAACATGAGTGTTAATGAGCCAGTATCGCTGTGGAGACATTAGTAAGGCTGCAAAATGTGCCCACCTTGCTTGTCCCACCTGTGCACACAGCCCCCAGACACTGTCAACTGCCCAGTGGCCCATTCATCTAAGGTTTGGCAAGTGGATTTCATACAAGTCACCATCCCATGGGAAAATGTTTAATCACAGTTTGTATGTTTTCTCACTGGACCAAAGCTTCCCCTGCAGACAGGGTTATGCTGCTTCTGTGTCTAAAATCGCTAGGTTTTTCCTCCCTGCAGAGCCCTGTAGAGATTCATGGTTACTGGGAAATCCATTTTGCCAGATGGGTGTTTTGACTGGTCTGTGCAGTCTTACAACACCGTTCACACCATCCTCAGTCCTTGGGGTTATTAGCCGCACACGCTGACACCCTCAAACACTCAGGACGCAAATCTGGAGACCCTCCAGAACTCTGGGCTAAAGGCACCACCACTGGTCCTAAATCTCACACTCACCCTTTGGGACACTCAGGCGCTCACCCTCCAAAGTTGCAGGACGTCCAGTGCTTGTGGTCCCCGCCTCCTGACCCGCAACCAATGAAGGACACATGCCAGTGTGAAGGCCTGAGGGCCTCTCTCAAACCCACGCCGCTCTGGCGGAGAGGCGCGGTCACGGTGCACTTCCAGGCGGCCACAAGCATGGGCGCCTGACCTGGAGGCTCCGTCTGTCCTGGAGAGCCTCCTCAGCCTCGCAGGAAAGGTCCTCATCAGGACCTGCCGACCAGCCCGGTGCCACCAAACTCCAGGGAACGGACGCAGGCTCGCTGACACCTAGAGAGACCCAGCCCCGCCTGCCCTGCTCTCCAGCTGGTGACCTGAAAGGGAAGATTTCCCGAGATGGAGGCAAAGGACGTCAGGCAACATGGACTTCCCACGACTAGGCCTGGACACCTTCCTCTTTGTCACTGCTCTTCCCTGGAAAGAAAACGGCCTTGTCTGCATTTCCCAAACCCTCGCAGAAGAGGGAGACCTCTTTCTGGTTATGGCCTTTTAGAAACAGCCTCACCACAATCCTGAGTTTTCTCTGAAAGATGAAAAGTTCAGAATTTGCAAAAGTCCTTGTTTCATCTTGTTTGAGATAACAAGGTTTAAAATGTCTTTCAGTTTTGCAAAGTTCACCACTATTGCTTCATGTTCATGCCTGCACGGTCTTCCAAGTACACTTGGTTATTTCCACATGCTCTGGCCATAGTCACCATTCTGCTCTCATGACCACATTCAGCAGGGACTTCCAGAAGGCACATGTGACTGTTTTCCTTCATAGGGAGACCTTTCCTGCCCCAGTTGGGATAAATGCCAGTGTATCTTTTAGGTGGCTACTTTCATACCTAGGGTCCTGATTTAGGACCATCATGAAATTTGGAACTGTCATTATACTTGTTGTATAATGATTTTTAAGTCCTGTATTTTGTTGCCTGTCAAGCTTTTGGAAAGGTCTACTACACGGAAAACCTGTTGATCAGTGATGCTTTCAGAGTAAGATCTTGCTCAAAAGGAGTTAAGGCGAAAATGGACACGGGGAAGCCTGACATGGCACCAGAAGGCCTGCAGGGGGAGCTCCACACCCACGCCCTGTCGAGCCGCGGACCACCGACCCCCAGGAAAAGCCCAGCCAACGAGCAGCCAGACGCTGGGGCTTCCCGGTTTCCTCCAACAGGCTTTGGTTTAGAACAGCCGCCCCGCGCCCCTTGCTCTGTAAAACGCCTCCATTCCTGGGACTTGCCCGTGGCGCTCATATGGCCTGCTTGTCCCAAACAGCAACTTTCTGTTGTTCCTGAATATACCCATTTTTTGCTGGTAAAATTACAGAGACAGACAGCCTTTTTTTAAGGCTGACAAGAGCAACAATCCTATCATGTTAGAAATGTTTTGTAGTGCCTTGCCCATTCAGAACTGTAGCTCATATGAAGCTGGTATGAATACTGGCTTTTTTATTGTAATATAGTTGACATATAAATATTGAAGTATTGATAAAAAATCATTAGATTGTCTAGTAAGTACTTTCTCTTAAGTTACTTACTATTTTTTGTATTTTATCAGGTCTGCAATATTTTAAGAAAAGCAGCTCAGTCGGATAACTGACACAACGGTATGATTTGAGGGGAGGAGTGTTAAAGGGTTCCTTTTTACAAAGACTAAAAAATGTAAAAAAAAAATTAAAAATATGATATTTCCTTTGTCCCTGCCAAACAGTGTTTTCATTTTATTTATTTTTAAAGTCGAACCCATTGTGCAATAACTTACATACCATTGTAAGTCCAGGGAGAGGAAATCCTGGGGCAAAATACCTCTAAAAACCGAAATCAGTCAAAGGGAGAAATGAAGTTTAAATTCTGTTTATTGCTTATAAACTGCAGTCTGGGGCAGTTTCTCCTGCTCCAGCAGAGGCAACACCGGCCCTACTCTCTCCTCTCAGGTACAGATCAGCCCTCCCTGCCCAGGTGATTACCCACTGACATGGAGATGAACTCTTCTCCACCCGTGAGGAATGACGCAAATGCACTAAAGTCATATACTTCATGTCCCCCCTCTGAATGCCTATTGATATGTAGATGTACTGAAGGCGGGCAAGATATTCTGGAAATATTACAATTTCACCCACAACCGTGAATGTATCGATTCTGACAGACCCTTCCCAGGCCCACTCTGAGGTGCTCTTCACTGAAGGGCTGAGTGTGGCAGGTCCGTATCTCAGGGTACGGCACGAGCTCACCTCTGCGGTCTTCACGGCAGGGATGCCCCGACCTGCCTGGCAGCAAGAACATGCCTCACAAGGCCACGTGTGCCTCGGCCCTGGCTGTGGTGCCCACTGGTGTGTGGGCCCACACCTGGGAACCGGGAGGAACCAGGCTGAGCACACCTCTGCCTTCCACGAGGGTCAGGCCTCGGTCACCTGCAGGCTGCTCTGACCCTTGGCGTGCTTCAGAGGCTCTGCTGGCCTGCTCCTCCAACAGACCTATGGGAAGACACCTCTGCAGGACGCAGGTTAAGATTAAATGAGACGCTCGACGGGAGGCTGTGATGTGGGAGCTCACTTTATGCCAGCCATGGTGCCAGCGAGGAGGCCTGCCAGCCAGGACTGCCTCCTGGATGGCACATCCACGGCCACTCTGGCCCTGAAAGGCACAGGCACCAAAACGGGGCTGCTGGGATTAATGTCTTTACACGGAGGGTCAGAGGACCCTTCTCACCCGGCTGTGACACACAGCAGCCCTCCAGGCAGAGGCGGGCCGTGGCTCCCTCGGGCGTATTCACGCAAACTGGCGCAGCAGCGGTCCCTCGGCCCGTAGCTGCTGGTGCAGCCTGAAATACCGCTGCAGAGGCGTAAAGACCCACTCCCCTGTGTCAGCTTTCACATCCTCAAACAGCCCAAGGGAGCAGCAGCGGCTGCTGGCCAGGTCACAGAATGGCAGGAGACATCCCTTTGGCAAAAAAGGACACGCTCCTGTCCTGTATCTTGTACTGGTAGGTGAGGCTCCGACCCTGCTGCGCTGTGGGCTGTGACGGTCTCCTCCACAGGATCTGCAGCTACAGGGACAGGGAGAGAAATGAAAGCATCTGCTCCGTGGTGACCCACCTTCCTCCTCTGCAGCCCTCCATTCAGGCGTCCACGAGCTCAGTCACATGTCCCATGCATAGTGTGCCCGACTTCTGAAACCAAGCTCATTACTAGCTAAGTGAAAATCAAGCACCCCCCTCATTTTCACAGCCATGTCTGCTCATTACAAAAAACATGAAGGAGAGAGAAAAACCGTGAACTTTTATGTGCTCCCCTTGGGTCTGCCTTCTACACGTGATGTGTTCTCGTAGGTTCAGCTGATTGTGAAAATCAACACGTGAGCATCTGTATATTCGGCCCGGGCACAGGAAGGCACGGCCTTTATCCTGACGACATCTGCAGGGGCTCGAATGCTCGGGGACCGACATCGTAGCGAGGCTGCAGCTGCCCAGCAGAGCCCCCTGTGCCCACCGTATGAACAAGCACCACCAACGCGGCGGGGCAGAGCCCTGCTCTTCGGCTTCCATTTCCATGATCTCCTCTGAACGACTCTGGGCCAAAACCACCCATTTTGAGTGAGTTGAGTGGTCAACAGGAAGTTCACCTGGGAGCTCTGGTAGAGGCTCAGGGGGACTCCAAAAGAACCTTTTCAGAAGGCAGGGAGCCAGGGGGTTAGAACTGGCCTTGCTCCCCGGCTGGGGCTCCCAGCTTCTGGTGGGGAGCTGCAATTACTCTGGTCAGAGGCAGCAGTGTGGCAGCCCTGGGTATGAGGATCGGGGCTCACTGGATGTGCAAAGCCCGCTGCAGCAGTGCAGAGCGATTTGGTATCAGGGCCCCTGGGTTCTGCTCCAGACTGCTGTCTCCTCTCTCCAGGAGCTCACTTAGATCACAAAAGGGCCATGTGGGAACCTACACTGCTGCCTGTTCACAGAACCTCCAGAGTCCCTTTCCCCTGAAGGAAGGCTCAACACTATCCCAGCGTGTGGTTCCAGACCCAGCAAAGATGCCAGCAGCCCGCCGCCCAGTAAGCCCCCGGCCCCAGCCCCTGTACCTGCCCATGAACGTCCTTGCAGAAGCCGGTGGCCAGGCCCTCAGCCCGCAGGATCAGGTGGCTCTGGTGACCGACGCCATGCAGCAGGAGGGCGTCCTCCTCATCCTCAGCACCTCCACTGTCATGCACAAGGGCCACTACATTCCCCTGTGACGGAGGCACGATGATGGCAGCCTGCTCCTGCCTGGAGGGGACTCCCAGGCCTGGGAGCGCTGCCCACACACCTCACACACCAGCCTCCCTGCCTTGTGGGAGGGACGGACTCCAGCCTGGGCTCTGGGACCTTAACTCCAACCACCCGTGGACAGTTTCCCCAGCACACCCAACCTGTCCCCTCAGCTCGGCCTGGGGTCCTCTTCAACGTGAGCAATGGTGCTGAGGTACAGCAGGAACATAGGGCACGGGTCAGGCCAGTATAAAATCTACTCAGACTGCGAAAAAGGCTCAGCTTATTCTTTAACGTAATCTACATGCTGTTCTTCCTCTTCTTCCAGCCTCTTAATGAACCAACTTTGTAACCAGGATGAGAGATAGACCTCTGAGTATGAATGAACCTATGTAGGTAAAGAAGGCTGAGATCAACACAGTCATCTGAATAATACTTCGAGACAAAACCTCAAAAAGACATTAATCACCTGCATACAACATGCCCTATGCAGATCCCTACCCTAAAGACCAATAAAATCCCAAGCCTTAACCCCTTAAGTGCACCTCCTCTCTGCGGGTGCCTGTGTTCCCTCCAAGTGGGTAATGTCTCTTCAAATAAACCCTCTTGTTCCATAAGCCTCCCGCACTTCGTCTCTGAACTCTTTCCTGTGGCAAAGATGAGAACTGGCCGACCTCCACCTCCGGTGGTGTCTTTGTCTTTTCACTACTTCATTCAGCTTTCTAGTCTTAAATGCAACCTTTTTCTCTGTTCTATTTCCAACAAGTAGGGAAGTGGCTGTGGGAACCTCTGAGTAGGGAGGGGCCTGCACTCTCTGGTCCCCTGGGTGACGGGCAGGAACGGCAGCGTTTCCGTCATGCTCTCCAGCAGTCTGCCCTACCCTTGCTTTGGGATGCTCTCAGAACAGAATCTCACTCTACCCAGTGCTCCACAGCTCCCCCAAATTCTGGGGTGGTAGGGATTTAATTCCTGTGCTGTGCAGTTCAAGCGGACACTGGACTCTAAGGGACCCTGGCTTTAGGAGTTGGCAGGAGATGTGCCCTATGCCAAGCAGGAGTTCAATGAACTTCCCTTCTCTCCATTCTCACTTTCTGCTGCCCGTACAGCTGCACAAATAAAGGGTCACTTTTCGTGGCACTATGCAACACTGATATTCAGTCACTCACTCACTTTAATGAATTCCTTTCTTACCTGCACTCATTCGACCTGTTCGAGAATTCTTCTCCATTCCAGATCAAAGCCCTCCCTCCCCCATCTGGGCTGAGGTTTCACCCAGCTGCAGAACAGATCACCCCAGGCAGGGCTGCCTGGTGTCTCCAGCTGGCCAGCAACAGTGCCACTGTCCCACCAGGCAGCAGTTCACCCAGTCCACAGCTCCTAAGGGCTCACCTACGCCAGGCCCCACGTGGGGATAAGAGTGAGAGAGACAGACATGGGTGTGGGGGTGCAACGGAGAGGTGTCTGTCTGGCCCAGAGGTGGGTGCCCTGAGCCGAGGCGGAAGGACCAGGAAGAGCTAGCCAGCCAGAACCAGAGGGGAAGGCCAACCCCGCTGAAACCGGACGACGCCTCAACTAAGCCTCAACTAAACCCTTCCAAAGGAATTGTGTCCAGCTGTTAGAAAAATGAAGCCTGTCTGTGGTTCTGTTTTTAGGCAACAGACACCAAAATATACTGAGTTATTAAATGAAAAGAGAAATTTCAAACAGTGTGGATAGTGGGTCACCAGTGACAAAAAGGGAAATGCAGGGGAGCAAACACACATACAAATGTGTTCACGAATGACGGCTGTCTGGGAGTCTGATGGGCTCTGCAACCATTCCTTCCTGAAGCAACCTTTATCCTATTCATCCTATTTCTTTTCTAAACTTGCCAAGTTCTGCCTTTTCCAAAGAAGCATTTCCACAAGAAGCGGGTGGCAGTGGGCCAGACAGCTGAGCTGCTGCAGGTGGCTGTGGCCGGGGCATCCCCCACCCGCACGCTGCGACCCCAAGCCTCCTGCACTTCCTCCTCCTCCAGTCCTCTCCACACTACCCGCTCCTGGCCCTGTGTCCGCAGCCGGGACAGCCTCGGGAATTCCCCGAAACGCAGCAGTGCTTGCTGCTGGTCCGCACACTGGCTGACCCAGTGTGACTCTCCCGCTGCTCTGCCCAGCCTGCCGCACCTCCACGCTGGGGACTGTGCTGGCTCGTTACAGCTGCACCTCATCTACTACTGCAGCTGGGTTCTGGTGAGGCAGGCACCCCCCCACTGCTGTGTTTCAGGCTGGCCTACTACCATTGTTAGAATCTCCACCATGGCTGCGATACAATGAGTTCTGACAAATATATATTCAGTCTTCATCCACAGTTCCTGAGAACACTTCAGAGCCATACATGTTGTGTGGGTGTCTTAATAGAGTGATCTGGACCCTACCAAAGGGTGGGGTTGGTTGCCAAGGGAACCGAGTAACTAGCAGGTAGGAGCTGTCAGCCCGCAGCCCAGGAGGGGAGAGGGCTGTATTGAATAACCAATGACTTAGCCAAACATGACCATGCAGTGAAGGCCTCACAAAGCCCCTGAAAAAAGCTTATTGCTCTCCGGGATCCTGCTCTGTGGGAGAGCGCGTCCACACTTGGGGAAGCCGATGCCTCCACGTGCCACCAAGCCAGGCCCCCAGCTCACGAGGACAGAAGGGCCTTTATTTGGGGCCTTGCCCTTTGTGTCTCTTCATCTGGCTGTTACCTTGTATCCTTTGCTAAACTGGTACGCCTAAGTGTTTCCCTGAGTTCTGCGATCCGCTCCAGTAAATTAACCGAGGGTAAGGGTAGGCCACGGGAGCCTCCAGTCTGCAGCTGGGGCTCAGAAGCACAGGCCCAGAACAATGACCTGCCCCGGGATATGGCCAACGCCAGCAGGGCAGGCACGGCTACAGCAGCTCCTGTGGTCTGTGTTGTTCATTCCTTACTTCTGAGGGCTCAACTATTTAGCGATGGCACGTAAGGAAGAGCAGGGTGGGGAGACTGCAAGATTTCTGGGCCTACCAGAGTGAAGCCAAAACCCCAAGCACAGAAGAAAGACTGCAGCCAGCCAGTGAGGTGTGCCCGTGTCTGGCACTCAGTGGTACCTTCAGTGCGTGGCACACAACGGCCCTGCAGTAGTGCACGAAGTCCAGCACGGCCACTGCCCCTACGCCCAGGCTCAGCAGCACACTGAGGTCATCCACCAGCAGCACCGGGCACCTCCACGCAGCTCCCCCGCTAGCCACGGGCTTCAGGGCCTCCTGCACGAACTCAAAGAGTGGCTGCAGGCTCCCGGCATCGGCCTCCCTGGGACAGAGGACAGAAGTCATCATTTCCCTCCCTACACACATTCACCTGGGACCAAGCAGCACCCAGAAAAGGGCCAGGAGGAGGCACAGAACCAGATCACAATCCTTCCCCACAGGGATAGAGATCTGTTGGAGAGGAGAGGCATGCACGTGCCCAGGAGTGCACTGTCCTTACACTGAAGTGTCCCTCCAGGCCGTGCAGGTACAAAGCACTACGCTAGAAACCCAGGGACACAAAGTTAAACAGATTCCTGGATCCTCAAGGGATTCCACATAGCCTCTCAATCCAAGAGCTTCAGGCACATGAAGATTAATCTGGACTGGGCAGGCATGAGAGGCCTTGTCAGGAGGATCACAAGTAGGTATGAAAAGCTAAACAGCACTTCAGGGGCCATGGTGGTGAGGGGCGTGGTCTAAGGCCTGCTTATGTACGTAGCAGATCTGAGCTGCTTCTGAACAAGCTGGCCCAGCTATCTGTCTCCTAACGACCATCCTCAGCTATCATTTCCATCAACAGGTGGGAGGCTCACAAAGCACCCAGCACAGAACCCAAGCTCCTGTCCCAATGCTCCAGGGCTGAGTTCCACTAACACCAGGATCCTCGACCTAAGCAGGTATAACCAGGCCCATCACTCAGACTCAGATGCATGGCACGGGCCATGTACGAGGCCACAGGGTCAGGGCCTGTGGCCCTCTGAGTCCGTGCTGACGCTCACACTGTGTAAGGCCATCGGGGGTCAGAGAGAGAGTTCCTGTACACACTTCTTTGTGTCAGATGAAGACCAGCAGCCAGGTGAGGGTCTGCACAGAGCTGTGTGTGGTGGATACTCATGAAGGACAGGCAGGGAAGCAACCTCAGAATGCCACACCAGCGGTCAACAAACTGTTTCCTAAAGGGCCGCCTGTAAATATGCCAGCATGAGACAGTATGTCAGCACGAATGTGGCTACCCTGGCACAATCTCATTTACAAAACAGGTAGCTGGCCCACGGCTGAGCCATGCATCAGCCAAGAACAGATCAAAGGTGTCAGCTTGGGCTCGAAGCCAGGGTGGGAAAAACCAGCAAAGCATGCTGCTCAGTCATACTGCCAGCACATGATGCTTCCCACGGCTTTCAGGACAGCCCTACAACCTCTGCTCCGCAGTAAGAGCCAGGGCTTTCCCATACTGCTGCAACAACAGGGAAGCATCTGCCCTCCCACACCGAGGAGTGGGGTCACTCAGCAATCCTCATGTGGGCACACCTACCAGGTGTGCACCTCTGGGCTGGGCTGCAGGCTGACTGACCTGAGGAACTGCAAGGGGTGTGGCTCCTCCCGTGGCTGGAAGAAGACATCCACGGAGGACTTGAGACCCTCGAGGAACACAAGCTGCCCGCGTTCCCGTGCCGTGGTCAGGCTGACACCCTGAACATGACAGAGAGGAGAGTGAGCTACTGTGCCCTGCAGACAATCAGAGAGGCCAGACTCTAGCGGACAGGAGGGCGCAGGACATATTCTGAGCTCTGCATATGTGCACCTGTCCCTCCTGCATATGGCCGTGACTTCTTTTCCCTGGATGTTCCTAACCCACAATCCCCATTCTGTTTCCAGATGTGTATTACATTTGTTGCTTTTTAAAAACCTTTTGCTTGTATTTTTCATGATTACCCAATATTTATTTTTAATTTACAATGGTACCACATTATTTCCTTTTTAAATGCATGAATTACAAAACTGAACACATTTAAAAACAGTAAGTAAACAATAACAGTAAGACGGGGAAGAATGACAGAGGTCTGAAAATGCTAGTGCTGGAAAAAGACCAGACTTCTGACTTGGAATTTCATAAACCCTCTTGTTTATCCAGCAATCCTGGGACCTCAGGAGTGTTGTGGGGCATTTCAAAGGTCACTGCTGATGGGTGGCCTGGTCCCCTCCCTCCCTGAGACCAGCCTATCAAACACTCCAAAACAACCCAGGAAGTCCACCCGCTCACAGGTCACAGGTCTCAGCCAAAGCAGGGTTGGGAGGTGACTACCATCCTGGCCACCTTGTTCTCGCCTGCCTGCCTGTAATGAGATGAGGGGCAGGTGACAAAAGCACCTCTCCCCATCTTTGGGTCCCAAGCCCTTGACATAGGAAGAGACGGCGACACACCTGACTTGGCAGCAGACCAACTGTGATCTCCAACCCAACAGGACCAATATAAAAGTCCACACTGAGGAGGAGAAAACCCCAAAAGTCCACTGTGAGCAGAGATGGGTTTGATTACCTGATAATAGATCTGATTCCAGCAAAAAGGCTGCCTGAGCTTCCCAGATAAGGTGCTCAGGACCCCACAATTCCCTCATTCCCACCCTTGTTAAGTTCTTTACAACCCAAATAGGAATACCCAGCTATAGGCTACATTCACTGGGATCTAATATATTTACCATCTTCTGCCCCACGATATTGTAGTGACTGAAGGACTGGATGAGTGCCACAAAGCAGACTTTACAATTAGCTGGAAAAAAAAACAAACTGGTATGTAATGATGTCTCTACTTGCAATCAGTCTTGTATACTTCATACCTCTGAAAACAGAAGCACGAAGGCAGGTCCAGAGACCCAGAAGCCTTGCAGCCTGACATGACCAATCTTATACTAAAATGCATTTTTTTTCATATTTAGTAATTGTACCTTATTTCATCAATTCTGAAATGTATTTTTTCCATGAGATGTATTACTAGGTATCTTATTTATTTTGTTCTATTGCTAATTGTGGTTTTTAAATTTTTTATTTTTCTGTTTGTTGTTGGTATACAGGAATACAATTGATCTTTTTAAACTGATCTTGTATCCAAGACATAAGAGGAACCGAAGAAACGCTAATGACTTATTAAATTGATTGCTCAAAATTATTTACTGAACATAATTCTAACAATTTGTTGCAGATTCTCTTGCTTCTTTCTATGCTGACAGTAACAAACTTTTTTAGTTGCAAAATAAAGAGGTAATCTGGAAAGCTGTAAATCATTATGACTGAGTGTGAAAGGTCATTATGACTGAGTGTGAGAGGCCTCTGTCCTAACCTGGCCCAGCTCAGTGACCATGCAGTTTTCTTCCCTGTGTTTTGTAGGAAGCATCCAGTGCCAGGGCCAAGCATCAATGGTCCAGTGCCCAAAGACCTCAAGATACACAAGAGGAGCAGCTAAATCAGGAGGCCACCTGAGGAGCATGGTGAGGCAGCGGCTGCACAGTGGGTAGAGACCAGGAGGGCAGGGCTCGGATACAGTGAGCACGTGCCACTCTCTGGCAGGGATGGAGAAAGAGCAAGATGACCCATTAACCCATCACCTAATGAACAGCCATCTGGCTACCCAAACGCCAAAGCCTGGACAGCTAACACTAATCCTACTATTTCCCGAGACAGGCATTTTTTCCTTGCCTTAGGTTTCTTTTTCTATAGCATCAGTGAGTCCCATACCTTTGAGGTAGAAGGAAAGGAAGTGGTGCACAAGAAAACTGCCATCTGTCTTGGCGTCACAGAGTAGAGTCAGTTTCCCCTAAAAGTTAAGAGGAACACAAAAAGGTGAAGTAGGTCCCCTGGAAAGAGGTCAGCTTAGAGTGTGAATCTAGCTGAGTGCGCCCACCCAATGTTTCTACACCTGAGGAGTGTGTGTGTACATTTCACTTACTATTACACTTTATTTATGTACACACACGAAGATAACCAAGAAGATAAGAAGTCAAGATTATGGAAAAACAACAATTAAAGTGATGAGTGTTAGGTCAGTCATGGGCATCTCTCAGGTTCCACTCCTCTTTCTCGCTCCTCACCTTGGCAACTCAGGGACCACTCTTGGGGGGGAATTAAATCCTGAACAAAGGATGCTTTTATTATCAGAACCCAAGGAAAATCAGCAAAAATCACAGCTTGCCAAAATTGGACGGAACCTTCAAAAGAGCCCTTGGATCCAGCTTTCTGTCCTCCAGGGTGGGAGGAATGGCTGTTGACAGGCCCGTGGTGACGAGGCCTCCCCGAGGCCGGGTGGGAGCCGACGCGTCCAGGCCAGGCGCTCGGCACGGCGCCCCGCAAAGGCCTCTAAGAGGGTGTCTGCGGTGCCGGCCGCCCGGCTCCAGGGGCCTCTCGGCCCCGGGGATCCCCCGTACAACTCCGGGGCCACGCGGACCCTCCACGCCCTCGGGCGGAGGCTGTGGGCTTCCCTGGGTCGAAGCCCACCAGGCCCCCGAAAGCTACGATCCGGGAGGCCGACGAACCCGCCCTCTCCCGGGAAGGCAGGTCACGAAGCGGACCCGACGCTCTGGGAAGTACGCGCTGCGCTGCCCTTGGGAGCCTGGCGGCGAGGCCGTGGCGGCGCCGGGCCGGGGGTCCTCGACTGAGGAGCGGCCTGCACGCACTCGCCTCCCCTCGCGGGAGCCCCGCTCAGGGCGCGCGCGGGGCCCCCCCGCGGACCACAGGGTCGCGCTCCCGAAACCCGCTTCCCGACGCGCGCCAGCGTACCTGCTCCGCCGCGTCGGGGGAGGTGCCGAGGAGCTCGCTGAGTTCCGGGAGCATCCCGACCGCTCGCGGGCTGCGCAGAGCGGAGGCCCCCGAGCTCCGAGCGCCGCCTCTGGGCGCGCGGGACGAGCGCGCACGCGCAGCACCGCCCCCGGGCGCCTGCGCAGCCAGCCGGACTTCACGCGCGCCCAGGCGGGGCGAGGGCCCCGGGGCTTGGGGTGCGGGCCCTGCTGGGGGGCCCCGGGCTCCCCCCACCCCGCGGTCCGGCTCGCCCCTCCTGGACCTCGCTCTCGCCCCAGCACCGGGGCTCAAAGTTCTGCACGCACCCATCGCGCTCCTCGCGCGTCCAGAAACGCGGGCTTGTGCGTGGAAAAGCCAAAGGAGAAGGGTTACCGGGGGGCAGCGGGGTGCGGGCGGCAGGGTGGAGAGGGCGGGGCGCCGCTGCCCCTCCTCCCCCCGCCCCCAGCGGTTGGCACTCGCTTGGTTCGGTCTCGCTCAGACGTCACCCCTTTCCCTTCCCCTCTCCCCTCCCGTTATTTCCTCCGTAGGTCGGTCGCTGGGGACCATGCCCGTTTTTGTTGTAGCCCAGCCAGCCACGGACCCCTGGGACAAGCCTCTGAGAAGGAAGTCGAGCTGTCCAGTCCCGCATCGAGGGAGACAGCAGTGGAGCCCCGGCGTCTGTCATCGAGCCGAGGGACGCGGGCGCCGGACGATTAGGGGTCGGGGAAGCGGTTCAGGTGAAGCAGCAATGCGCTCCAGGAGAGAGCACAGCTCTGGGCCAAGGAGCAGTGTCTGGCCTGGACTGCGCAGTGCATCTGGGTTTCCTGGGAACTGCAAGGTTAAAGAGAGGTGGCATGCAGTCACCCGGAGCTCTGCAGCTGGCCTAGAAATGAGAGCTGCTTCTCTATGTCAAGTTTAGATCCTCCAGTCAAGAATGGGTGTTCGTGTTTACGGATAAGTGAGAAAGAGGAAAGCAACGCGTGGCATCCCGGAGCTGGCCTGACAGCTAGGTCTTGGTTTTCTGTGGATCAGAAACAGTTTCACACAACATTGACATCAGTCTGACTGTGATGGATCAAGACAGACAAAGCACTCCATGATCATCCTGAGTCGAACATAAACATTGTCTAAGCCAGGAACTACCAAATATCCTCTCTCCCAGCTAAGTACAGCTACTTCACCAGCAGCAGCTTAGCCACTCTGGTCGGCCCTCCCTATAGCCTAGATTCCCTAAGATACCAAGCCTAACATTAACAAACAAAAGTTAATACAAACTAATACAAATATGGAAAATTCACTCTCTGACAGGAGTCAGTCCCCGGGAAAGTTGTGCTTCCTTAAACCCTTTAAATCACCTATCAAGCGCAAAGCCTGTAATCATGTTCCAAAACTCTTTTAATGAAAACCCCCATGGTTCTCTGGTGTGCATTCTCCTTCACAGCAATGAGTAATAAACCCGGCTTTTTCAGTAACAGGTGTATTCTTGGTGGTTGTAGCATGGAGGGAATTCGCATATGATTTTAAGCAGAAAAGTTTTGATTTTAGAGAACAAAGTTTCTTAGTAAGAAAGCACTATGTACACAAAGGAACTGGTTACTATGAGACCCCAGCAGAAGCACATTCTTGAGAGAAATACTGTTTCCTGTTAAAGTAGGCTTTATGTATATTGATGATAAATAGCAGGACAGGTCCCTACAGTCTAAGCTAATTGTTCATTTCTTGGTCTCCTTATTTGTTCAAATCTGCACTAGAAGCCAGGAGGGCTGGGATTTTTTTCTCTCGTATTCCCTTGGTGCCTAAAAGAATGCCTGCACATAGCAGGTGCTCATTTTAAAGGAATGACTGTGTTTTTCTGCAACAGTGGGCTGTTTTTTCACTTTTTTGGTATGCTTTGAAGCAAAAACAGTCTTTAGTTTTGAAGTCCAGTTCCTCTACTTTTCCCTTTGTTTGCTCATGCATTTGGTGTCTGTGGGGAAAATGGAACTTTCTGCCCAGGATTCCTGCCTGGCCTTAGTAACGCCCATTGTGTACCCTTCTTTCCTGCATTTATTTGATCCCAACGAATTCATAGAGAACTTGCCCCAGGCAGGGAACCCGTTCCTCCCAGAGCTATAGGGTCATATCAAAGAATCCATTGTTGAATCCATACTCATGAAGATTTACCCTGTGTTATCTTCTAAGACTTTTATAATTTTATTTCTTGAGTTAGATCATTGATCCACTTTGAATCAATTTCTTGTATATGGTGTTAAGGTAAGGATCTCTGTTAGCTGGGGATACAGGGCAATTTTGAAAGTGACATGTTCCATTTAATCTTGCTGTAATTTGATTAGTATTTATTGAATCTTTAGTTACAGTTTGAGAACAGTGTTGTTTTAATATAAAGCACTGATTCTACCTTTATTTATGGATTTTCCTATCAATAGTGATGGGTTAGTTCTATTTTTTCCCTATGACAAAGAATACCACTGTGAAATACTCAACTTTGTCTCTTTTTATTCATGTGCAAGAGTTTCCCCAGGGCATATATCTGAACTGGAATTGTTGGGTCATAGGCTAAGGTGAATTTACTATAAAGCTAACAAAACTGACTTTTAAATTCATAATGTTTGATTCATTTTTTAAATGAGAATTTTATATAGTCTTAGATCCCAAAATGCCTGGATTTGCCCCTAATCATAGTTTATGCACATGTTCAGCAAACCAGTGCAAATATGGAAAATTCAAATGCAGAAGAATTGATGCAGGAAGTTGGGCTGAGGGTGTTGGAAGAACTGGAGGAACAAAATGGAGAAGAGGAGTTTACACAATAGTTAGGTACTGTTCCTGGGCTGAAGTGTCCTCCTGTGAGTGAAGGGGGCTGGAAGCCTTCAAACTATGCCTTTCAGGCTGCTTTGCCAGGTGGCGTCTAGTTAGGTTCTATAAGGAGATACAGGCAGTAGACCGGAAGAAAGGAAGGAAAGAGCCACTTTTCCTGCTCCTGGACCCTCCAGCAGCAGCTGGGAGTTTTGGCTGCAGTGGGGGCACAGGCTCCAGGGCCCAAAGGGCAGCCACAGCTGCAGCGATGCTCCCAGCCTCTCCTGTCTCCCACCCTCAATCTGTCAGATCTCCAGGCCTTCAAAATGGCTGTTCTCTTTCCACTAGTCGGGCTTTTCCAGCTCCATCCCATGCCCTCCATGACTGTGCCCTGAAACTCAAGCTCTGGTAAGCATGCATGCTGCCTCATCTCGTCCTGGGAGCAGCAGCTGCCCTATGGCTCCCAGCCCCAGGTGCCTCCTTCAGCCCCACTTCTCTGCTAGATGCTGGTGATCACGTCACCACTGGAAAGCCACATGGCCCTGCTGCAGCCCCACTCAAAACACAGCTGTGCCCATGCCATCATGGCCTTTGTGCTCCTGTCTCTAAGTTACTGACGTGTTCCAGACCTCATGTCTCCTATCAGCCTCTCATTTCTCCTCTCTACCCAGCTGGCCTTCTTGGCAGGCCCCTCTGCCTAGAATGCACTTCCCGCATAAAAGGAAAGGAGCGACACACAGCAGCAATTCACTGGAGAATTCCGCTTTATTAGGGAAAGGTGCTGGGTTATATAGGAAGGGGCATGGGGTGATTGTGGTGTTACTTCTACGGGGCTGGTGGCTGTTGGCTAGGTGCTGGGATTGGGAGGGGGGCGAGAGGTGATTGGGCTTCAGGTGGCGCCGGCGGGAACCGAGGACCCCGAAAAGAAGCCGGAAGTTCGCCATCTTACTGGTGGGGACCCTTCATTCCCCCCTTTCTCCTCTATGGGTTTGTGGGCGTTGCTTTCTTTCTGACTGCTTCCTGCTGAACAGGGGCGGAGAAGGGAGTGAGGGTTTGAGGATTGGGAGGAAAGGGTTGATAGGACTCCCCACAGTAAGGATGAGTAGATGTGGACTTCTTCAGGTTGGAAATCAATGAAGGTTCCCTGTAACCATAGGTTGAGGACCTGTTGATTCCAATGGTGCCAAGAGGATATGGGTGTCAGGAGCCAGGCGTCTGCGGCCATTGTTTCCAGGAACAGTTTCCAGCGGAGAGAGGGGTCCATCTCAGCATGTGGTGAGGAGGTCACGTGAGGGTGAGGGGTCTTCCGTGGCCAGAAGCTGGTAGTTCCTGAGTAAAAGCTGGTTGAAAGCTTGATTAGAGATTTTCCCGACTTGGGATTTGATGAACTTTATTATACAGGGTAAGAAGAGACAGACAAGAAGAATGACTATTATGGGGCCTGCAATGGGCCAGAGCCAGGTGAGGAGGGGGTTTGTTAGTATTGACGAGAATGGGTTGGAATTGGAAGCAGAGTGGAGGCTGGAGGCAAGGTCAGTGAGTTTGGTGATGTCAGTTTCTACAATGCCGGATTCGTTGATGTAATAGCAGCACTCTTCCTGGAGGAAGACGCAGGTGCCACCCTTCTCGGCTGTAAGCAGATCTAGGGCCCGCCGGTTTTGAAGGGTGACTTTAGCTAGCGAAGTGACTTGTCTTTGGAGAGAGGCTAGGGAATCGGCAGTGGATGCCAGGGCTCCCTCAAGTTTGGCGTCGAGATCTCTAACTGCCCATAGAGAGTGACCCAAGGCTCCTCCTGAAAACCCCACCCCAATGGCTGAGGTGATTAAAGAGATACCGACCATGATGGGAAGGAAAGCAGCCCTTTTTGTGCGCGAGTGCAAGGGAGGTTGGAGCTCAAGGAATTCTGCCATGCTGTAAAGTGTAAGCTGTGGGATTAGGGTGACGAGAATGCAGGGTGTATCGGAGTTGAGAGGCAGTGAGTTGAAAAGGCTGCCATTACACCAAAAGAAGTGTCCCGGTTGTGTAAAAGTCTTAGAGCCGGAGGTAGGGGTGTAGATAGAGAGGCAGTGAAGTGCACTGGAGGGGGGTGGAGTTGGGCCTACACAGTGGTGGATGGTGAGATTATCTGGGTATTCTGGCTCCCATAGGGGTATGTCTGCCAGGGGACGGAGGGGTTGTCCTTCTGCATGGAAGGAGTAGTTGGAAATATTAAGGGGCACGGCGGCCAGCAGTGGGCGCTGTAGTGATGCGCACAAGAAACAATTGGCGGTGTTGAGGGTGTGGTTGAGAAAGATGGTGGTGTCTTGAATGAGCTGTAACCAAGAGTAGGAGGAATAAGAAGATGAAGAGGCGCCGTCAAGAGTTTGGATAATGACTTTTTCGGAATGTCTGATATCTGATGCAACTTGAGAGATCTGGGAGCGAGAGGGAACATACTCTCGAGAGATATGAAGGGTACCGTGGGGGGTCGAGGACCCCTTGTAGTAAACTGAGGCTGTTACTCCAGCAGCCCATCGAGAGTCCCAGGGATCTGGGATTGATAAGGAGAATGAGCCGTTGGGATATTTCATGAAACGGTTGGAGGAGTAATACTGTGGGTACTGGAAGTCACCCATGTAGTGAATGGTGCAAGACCAGTAGGGGCATCCCCCGTAGGTGTCTGGCCATCGCCTGCAATAGGCTTGTCTTTGGTCATAGAGGAAGCAGAGGTAGGGAGAATAAAGGTAGCTGTAAATGAATACTTCAGTGGAGGGAGGAAAGTGGAGGTACAAAGGCTCAGAGCAGCCTTTCAGAGGGCAGTCTGATGTGGCAATGAGGGCAGTAACTTTTGTTTGATGCTGTGTGTAAGTCTGCTTGACTTTGAATCGCCATACAAAGGAGGATGGGGCGGCAGGGAAGACAATAGGAATGAGGGAAAAAAGCGAGAGAGCAGTAAAGGAGGAAAAAGTCATGATTCAGGTATGGATGGCAAAGAGGGTGCACGGGAGATGCGGAGCTTCAAGGGATCAGAGGGATGAGGCGTGGTAGAGTAGACAGCGTCTTGGGCTGTATCCGAAGGACTCTGGATTGTGACTGATGGGTCTTGGGTGTCCAGAGAAGGTGAGTCTTGGGTATTTGGTTTCAACCTGGAGATATGAATCCAAGGGGTGACAGAGTTATCAGGCAGTGAGAGCTTGGCGGCCGAGGGGGTGCAGAGAATAACTGGGTGTGGACCTTCCCATTTCGGGGTGAGAGAGGGCTGATCCTCTGGTGGCTTATAAAACACTAGTTGGCCGGGCTGTAAGACAGGAGGATTTTGGGAGGCGGATGGATCAGGAAGGAGCCAATCCTGATATTTCCACAATTCAGTGCGGAGGAGAGAGAGTAGTGGAAGGGCTATATTGGGAGGAATTGGTCCTTTGTGGGAAGGGAGCCCCGGGGGTAGAATCGGGCGGCCGTACATGATCTCAAAGGGTGACAAGAAGGAAGGTTTCTTTGGGAGGGCTCGAATGCGGAGTAGAGCTAAGGGAAGTAAGCGAACCCAGTCAAGGTGTAGTTCTAGAGATAGTTTGGTCAGGATGTCTTTTAGAGTCCTATTGGCTCTTTCTACTTTTCCTGAAGCTTGTGGTCGATAAGGACAATGTAAATGCCAGGGGAGCGAGAGCGACTTGGAGAGGTTCTGGATAATTTGGGCAGT